GGTCCTGAGGGCTCTCCTGCTCTCCCGGCCGGGTTACCCCCACGTGGACCATCAAGCAGGGCTAAGGTGAGCAATGCTACCATGAATTGTGTCTGACTCCATTACTTGACTATCTTTGACTTCTTATGCTCAATATGACTTTACTATAATCTTATTATCGCTGTAGAATTGCATCCACCGGACATGTGATGATTTGTGGGGGAGCCCCCTCTCCCTTCACCCCACAGATTACCACCCTTTTACATCCTCTACTAAAATAATGGATTTGGGGAATGAGGAACAAAGTCTACACCAAATCATTAACTGAAAATCTGATGGAGAATTTTAAAATTGTTACTTCAGGTAATAAAAGGCACACATAAAAAAGAGGCAATATCCTATATGCTTGCTATTAAAAACAAGTACATTTGTTGATAAAATTCCTTTCTTTACAGGGAAGGAAGATCAATTAGAAAAAATTCCCAAATTGGTCTTCACCACTATTTCATATTAACCATTATCTTGGGTGCAGTATGGGCGAAGGGAGGGTACAGTATAAAATCTAGGCCACCCGCCTTAAAACTGGTATTAGCCAAGTACAAAAGTTCCTACCAGAAGTACTTGTCGGCGTCCAACAGACATGGCAATGCTATTCCATATTCCTTTCTTTTCAGGAAAGCTCTGCCCTTCTCATGATATCCCATAGCTAACATAAGGGCCTAAGGAAAAAATGTATTAAAAAAATTTTATATTATAGTAAAACAAATTATAAGAATATTAATTCTAAAATGTAACAAAGTAAAAAACAAAAAGCAGATCACAACTAGAGCAAAAAGCCAAAATTAAGAAAATTATCAAATATTTAAACATTGAAACAAAACAACTCGATTGGCTCTGTTTGATGTGGTCACCACCAGCACCTGGCCCATCATCTTCACCCATTTATTGGATACCTGTTGTCCTGCATTTCTTACAACATTCCATAAGACCCCGCTGATAGGTCTGGAGAAAACGGAAGACATGTAGCAACATATCTTATTATCGCTGTAGAATTGCATCCACTGGATTAGTCCAGCGGATTAGTGGCCTTGCATGTCACCAGCAGTCTTCATGACCCTGACAGACATCTACCACTACCACCTTCCCTAAGAAGGACTGCACTAGAAGATTCTGGAGAAAGTGGGAGAAAAATGTGGAATAAAACCCGCAATCATAAAAAAGACCAGGCGTATTGGTCAGATAGGGACTTCACTCTGTGTGTCACTCTTTGCTCTGTAAAATTTAGATGGCTTATCATATAAAGAATCTTTCAACGTTCTGGGTCGTAAGCCATTCTCTGTGATAAATGGGATGAGACTCTGGCCCTTAGTCACTCTTTAGGTCTGGAAATAAATCCACCCCATCTCAAAAATAAACAGGTCTGTAATGGGACTATTAAGCCTAGGGAGGCAGGCACAGCTTAGAATAGTCGACCATTCAAGATAGAAAGGGCAGCGTTTACCTGAGGATAAAGTTCAGGAATGTTAGGAGAGGAAGAGAAATGAAAACAGGAAACGTGGAAGAAAGTGGGATACATGCTGTTACACGGATTACACTCGATGATGTGAACCAAAAAGTTTATGAACTGTTGAAAGGGAAATCGATCTGCTCATTAAATCTTCAGCTAAGTTCAAAAAGAAGAAAAAAAGCCAATCCAAAAATATTGTCAGGTAATTTGTCTTACATTTGAATTTTTATATAATTCCATCTTATAAAGGTTTTCTAAAAAGATCTAAATGTCATTATTTAATATAAAATAGTTGGCAAAGAATTACCAATATTAAAATCTACCATTGCTCTAGCTAAAGTTCTGTTATTGAAACAACTTTAAATCTCGATTTTAAACAGAATAATTCATATAGTAGAGTTTACTCAAAGCTGTGCTTTAAAAGCATTTTAAGAAATTAGCTTAACCCATAATCATTAGAGCACTTCACTCATTAGAAGAAGCTACTGGAGGGAACCGATTACAAGGAACTGTATGTGACCTCCCTGGGGGATGGACAACAGAAAAGTGGGTGAAGGGAGACGTCGCACAGGACAAGATATGACAAAATAATAATGTATAAATTAACAAGGGCTCATGAGTGAGGGGGGAGCAGGGAGGGAGGGGAAAAATGAGGACCTAATGCCGGGTACTTAAGTGGAGAGGAAATGTTTTGAGAATGATGAGGGCAATGAATGCACAAATGTGCTTTACACAATTGATGTATGTATGGATTGTGATGAGTTGTATGAGCCCCTAATAAAATGATTAGAAAAAAAAGAAGCAGCAGCTACTGGGCTCAAAAACTGGTCTCAGGATCCACAATGTAAAACCCCTTTCATGAAGACCCTTTGGGAAATAATGTTCACAAAGGAAACAATGTCCTACCTATCCAGATTTGAGAACAGCTGGAAAGCGAGGAGATGTCAGCATCATCTGTCAGAATTTCCATGAACTACTTCCCACCAATGCTTCCGTTCAGACAGAGCCCTTGAGGCCATGGCCCTCCAAATCAACCAATGTCAGAGAAGGTCAGCTACCATGCAGGCAGGGAGTCAACCCCAGAGCATGTTCACCATCACTGCCAGAGGGCAGTAAGGCATAGCATTTGGTACAACTCCCCAGAACACAGGGCAGACCCACTGGATGCACCCTGCTGATCACAGGAACACAGTTTCTCCTCTTGGAAAAGTTTCTGAATCCTGGAGCGCATCCCACAGTAAAATAACTAGGAAAACGATTCACTTCACAGAGCACTTACCTTTCTCTCCGAGGGGGGGATCTTGATTGATCGGCCTGTCTGGTTGGCTATGTCTAAGTAAGGTGTAGTCTCCGGATCCACCACCATCTCAGCTGCAGTGAACAAAGGGAACGTCACCAGTCAGTGTTAAAGAGCAGGGGACAGACATTAAACACCAAACTGTTTAGAGGGGAAAAAATTCAGTTGAGAAATCACAACTCCCAACTGCATGATTCCCTGTCCCCTTTGACTACCTATCGAAACCAGCCGGGTAGGGTGGGCTCAGGGTACCTCTCTCTGCCAGGATTTCCAGTCCTCTCTTGGTCCTCTGGATCTTTTTTTCTTTCAGTTCAGCTTCATTTTGCTCTTCTTCTTCTACCTGAAAGTTCTTTCTCGCATCCTCTTCAGACTGCTTTAGTTCAAGCACCATAGCCTTCACGTTATGGGTCACTCCTTGCTCTTGCAGGGTTTTCCCTGAAAAAAGCAGAATTGCATATCATACAAAGAATCTTTCGATGTATTGGCTCCAAAGCCGTTCACTAAGATAAGTGGAATTCTGCAACTCCAATAACATTGCAAACTACTGTGTTACAAAAAAGACCCTCGACGCGATGGATTACCACAGTGGCTGCAACAATGAACCCAAACAGATGAACAATTGTGACGATGGCACAGAACCGGGCAGTGTTTCCATCTGTGGTACATACGGTCACGGTGGAGTCTGAACTGAATCGATGGCACCAAACAACAGAAACATGCTACATATTAAGGAGTCCAGGTGTGCTGTCAGGTAGAAAGCACCTGACACCTTAGTCTTCAAAGTTACCTCCTTGCTTTTCGACACTCTAATGAGGTCTTGGGCAACAGACTTGCCCAATGCAATGTGTTGCATTGATCTCTTGACTCTTGCTTCCATGCGCATTGGCTGTGGATCCAAGCAAGATGAAATCCTTGACAACTTCAACCTTGTCTCCATTTATCATGTTACCTACTGGTCCAGTTGTGAGGAATTTGGTTCTTGACATTGAGTTGTTATCCGTACTGAAGGCTGCAATCCTTGATCTTCAAGTCTTCCTCACTTTCAGCAAACAGTCCTGCCACCTACGTATCACAGGCTAATCAGCCTCCCTCCAATTCTGATGCCCAATTATTCTCCATGTAAGTATGCTGAGAGGGTGCAACCCTGATGCATATCTTTCCTGATTTTAAACCAAGCAGTATTCCCTTGTTCTGTTCTCACAGGTGCCTCTTGATCCATGTACAAGTTCTGCATGAGCACAATGAAGTGCTGAATTCCCAGTTTTTCTCAGTTAGTCGTAGTTTGTTATGATCCATACAGTCGAATGCCTTGGCATAGTCAATAGAACACAGGCAAATCTATTTCTAGCATTCTCTGCTTTCAGCGAAGTTCCATGTATTATCAGCAATATGCTTGGTTCTACATCCTCTTGTGAAAGCAGCTGAAGCTCTCAAAGCTCCCTGTCAGGGTAATGCTGCAACATTGTTGGATGGGCCGTTATTGTGTGCGTCAACCTCGAGCTGTTATTTCACTCAAAGGAGACCTCAGAGGATAGTTTGGGTTCAGAATTTTGAGTCTCTCTGGGTGATCATCTCAGGAAGTTTTCTAGTGTCTAGTGGTCCAATGTTTTCTCCCATTCAATCAGGGAACATCTACAGTGGCCCTGACAATTATGGTTGGTACTGTTAGCCAGACATCATCTAGTTCTTCTGGGGTCACGGAAAACGAGGCTATGGCTCATGTCATCTGTTACAACGTCCTGTAGACAGGCCGTTTTTATTTTATTCTCCGAGGCTTTCGTTTCCTTCTTTCTCTTTTGTGCCAAAGAGAAACTGATAGTTGACAAACAGAAACCAGTAGTGGTATTTTAGACAGCTGCTGGAACGATTTTAAGAGCCCAGATGCTATTCACCATCCAGGGATGTACAACGTGGACTTTGTGAAGGATAGTATGACAGCTGAGAGAGTTGTCAAGAGTCTAAAGTCTAAGCCTTCAAACGCAGAAAATCACTCTTACAAGGTGTTTGGTTACACCTGAGAAGTATCTGAAACGGTATCCTCTAGGAAAATATGTGTGTGCATACGCACACCTCGATGTACACAGATACTTCTATCTGTGCATTCATAGGGTACGTCAAGAAGTATTGCTACTAGGGTTCCCGCGCATACGTTAACACATGTATTCCAAACAAAACTTGTTTAATTACGTCTCTGCAATCAGTGAATGACTGAAGAGAAGTCCTTTCTCCTTTCTGTAATAGATTTCTCTTAGTATCAAAACCTTAAAAAAAAGTCCATTCCAAACCTTGGCCTGAGAGGATCTGCTGGGCCAGTTAAATTCGAGGCAGGGACGTCCGCTGAGAAGGTTACCGAGACTGTGTAAAGGACACAGATTATAGGAGAGCACTAGGAAGTTTTAAGAAACGTGAAAACTGCATCGATTGGCAAAGTTGCACAAGGATGGCTTGCCAGCATGACTATTCACCTGGACTCCCTCTTTGAGTGTAGCAAGCATAGACCCACATGAATACTGTTTGGGGGACCTTCCCCCAGGCAATCTACAGCCCAATCCCCAACCTCAGACTTCTTTTGCATCCCCAAACTCAAAGAACATGCTGAAAGATCATGATGTGAGTCATTTAAGGATATCAAAACTGGCATTTTGACCAATTATAAATCTAAAACTATAGAATTCTGTAGTAAAGGGTCAGAAAGATGGAAACGCTACATTAGAAGTATATGAACTTGGATGGAGAACATGTTGAAAACAGCTTCACATTCTGTTATTTTTGTTTGATAAAGGTTTCTATGATTTCGTAGCAATAATATTTTTTTGCAACAATACTTTATAACTTACCCACATCTATGCACACCTGCAGCTACTCATATATACACATACCCAGATATGTAGGTGACCAAATAGTCATTTTTCTCATTGTTGGTATTGTACCCAAATGACACGTGTCGTATTCCTTAGCACAAATATCCTCTTATCTTGTGTGCTTCTTAGTGGCATCATTAACATAGGTCAAGCTGGGCTCATTACACCCACCTTCAATGCCACTACCAAAAAAATCACAAGTATCTACAACCTAGAGAGTAAGTCCCTCCTACTCTGGTAACTATCACTGAGGATTGGTCTCTCTCGACAGCTTTTATTTCATGGGCTCATCATTGTTCTGTATTTCATGGCGTGCCTCTAATACATTTTGCTGACCCAATGATCTACTGAAGGGCATTTTCGAGGCGGGTGTGCTAGGAAGTAAAACAGCACAACTAACACAGCTCTTCATACCTAGGCTACCAACACAAAACATCAGTAGAATGACCGGCTCAACCAGCCACACAACCAACTGTTGGAACCTTACTAAACACCATATTCACATGGGGCTGGCCCTTAAGACATAATTAAACTTTTGCGCTGTTTGCTTCAGAAACAGACATGGAAAACAAAATGAAGTGCACAAAACCAATGTCACAAATGCAAGCCTAGATCAATCCACATTTGTGGGGACAAGGCAGGCTCCATATATTACAAAAAGCTACTTCAAAAGAGGTGTTGGGGAGCTGGGCCTAGGCTTCTAACCTCAGAGTTTGCAGTGGGATGAAGAGGGGGACGAGAGGGGGTTCAGTGGAGTCACAATGAGAGAATGTGTGAGAACAGGGAACGGCCGAGCGTGGCTCCAGAGTGAGCATCTGCGAGGAAATGAACAGAGAGAGCACTGGTAAGGAAGGCCCAGATCATCTGAATTCGATTCCGTAGATCAAAGGAAGCCACTGGAAATCACAAGACTACAGCGCTTGCCTGAACATCTGTAATAACTGGACGCTCGAGACTTACTCATGTTCCCATCAAACCCATTCACTCTCCTCATGAGGCCAAGTAATCTTTTAAACACAAAGAGGAATGTATACAATTGTGGTGAAAGAAAACTACTTAATGTGGCTCTTCTATCCATTTATCTGTAACTCCTACCAAATGATGGGGTGGGACCATGCAAATACAGGATAGAGGGCTATAACTAAAGGATTGGTCAGGTTTACCATTTGCCTGACTATAAAAATAAAGCATCAAAGCATCTCAGAAGCTGGGATAGAGAACTTCAGGGACTGTCAAGGAAGAAGAGCCACCAGAGGAGCGTATTCAAGATCCCTCTCTGCCCGAAGTGGCAGAGGCAGCAGAAGCCATGCCATACAGAGTCCAGAGGCACCACAGCAGAAGAGCCACCACCCTGAGACTGTGAGGCAAAGCCCTGGGCAGGCTTCCAGCTCATGAGACAAAGCAGAGGCCAAGGGATTGTTGAGAGGCTGAGAACCAGAGGAAGACTTGGCTGATGGCTGAGGAGAGGCACTGCTTGTGGACCAACCACTATCTCCTGTTTTAAGATCCTGACTTGTGGTACCCTATTAATTTCCCTAACAAACACCCATAACCATGAGTATTGACTCGAGTTCTGTGATGCCTTTGCAACGGATTACTGAACGCAGCAGAAAAGCAAGGTGTTTGGGTTGAGGTCAGAAAAGAGTAAAGAAGGAAAGAGGGTGGGGCATGTCTGACCTCTGCCTTGGGGCACTCAGTCTTGGACTGGGGAGGAGATGGATTCTCCTCCTCCCTTGCACAGTTAGAGATCAGAGATGGTCTCTACACCATTTTCACATCACTCACCAGCATACATGGCTTCCCATCGACTGGTCTTGGGAAAATACTCTGAACAAGGTTTGCACTCTAGATTTTTCAGTCGTTTTACTGATAGCTGGGGCAGAAAAAATAATGGTTTGTGGAGAAACCATCCTGTGTATTATAGGGTGTTTAGTAGCACCCTAGGCTTCTATCCAATAAGCAGCAGTTCTCAACCTGGGGGTCGAACGACCCTTTCACAGGGGCCACCCGATTCATAACAGTAGCAAAATTACAGTTATGAAGTAGCAATGAAAATAATTTTATGGTTGGGGGCTCACCACAACATGAGGAACTGTATGAAAGGGTCGCAGCATGAAGAAGGTTGAGAACCACTGCCCTAGATGCTGGTCCAGTTCCAACAACCAAAAATATCTCTGAATATTCCCAAGTGGCCCCTGGGGGAACAAAATCACCCCTGGTTGAGAAGCCTATCTATCATCTTCCACAAGGTGGCCTCTATGTGGCTCTTCATCCTTAGAGCTACTCTCCTCAAAGCTACACTAGGCTTTTCTCTTCTCTTCCTATAGTTAACTCCCAACCTGATTATGCCTCAACCTGAAACGCTCCCCACAATGGGCTTCCTGTTCAGCTAACTCTTTTCCCTTGGGTACAATTCCCCTAAACCTAATTTTATCCTAAGCAATTCCCAGACTTCGAGTTTTAACACTTATTCAAATCTTAGGATCACTCTCTCCACGTATATAGTACATCCTGACACAGGGCAGAAATAAGTACATATTAGAAAAATTGTCTTCTGCTTTACACTTTAATTAACTGGTTTTGGATTATACACAAGCAAGGTCGCTACATTTTTTGGAGAGGAAGGGAGGGAGGGAGGGAGGGAGGGAGGAAGGAAGGGAGGGAGGGAGGAAGAAAGAAAGGAATACAAAGTCATTTATTTCTATAGTGGCTTGTTAAATTCTGCAAGCTTTGACATAACATACCTAGTTGAAGCTGTTTCTTATTTATGACAATTTTGATGTAATTTTCTTGAAATCCAAAGGTTTCAGCTATTCTGTAAAATAAAACCAGGGAACTGTAGTGAAACAAATTTGCTATTTATCATCTATTAAATAGATTTTAATTAGGATAAGTGTTTCAGACATTTTACTCAAAAACACCCAATATTACAACTTACCAAGTCACAAACAGCACTTCACAAGAAGCCAGCTTACTAGATGGCCACTTAAAGCAGTATAAAAGACCACATTATGGGCAATGAATGTACAAATGTGCTTTAACAATTGATGTATGTATGGATTGTGATAAGACTTGTATGAGCCCCTAATAAAACGATTAAAAAAAAAGACCACATTATTTTTTAAACTTTCTGCTTATGACATATTCCCTCATAAAGCAGGAGCCATGGTGCTATAAGCCACCTGAGCATGAGAGTCCTAGCTGATGTCAGGAAAAAACCCATTCTAGCTTCTGCAGGCTCCTTTGAGGTACCAATAACAGAAGCTGTTTCTTCCAGCAATTTGTGCTCAGTGAATGAAGCTCCCTGAGCCATTTCTAACAGCCCTGATGTTGTCTGGTGAGCCTTGGAAGCAACCAAAACCCAATGAAAAATGTACAAGTTGATGAAATAACTGACATGCAGGCACTTGGCTGATAACTGTAAAATCAAAGGTTCATACCCATTGGCCACTCCAAGGGAGAAAAATGAGGCTCTCTGCTCTCAAAGATATACAGTCCCTTATCCCCAGAATTTATTTGAAAGGATGGCATTGAATCTGCATCTCCGGGAGAGGGACATATCTGATCGGAACACACGGGAGCAGATGAGGGGGAAGGAGGAGAAAGTGGAGCACATCCTGGTCCACCAGGCCATGAGGACGATGTTCCCAATTAGAGCAGCCAGTCCACAGAGAGGACCACATGGCCTGACCCACTATGAGACATGTCACTGACCCATAGCCCTACAGGGGACAACACCAGACATAGTGTGGGAATTGTACCTGATCTGATCCCACCACACCGAGGCAAAACACTAAGGGGGTGCAACAGAACAAGGGAATGGAGC